GCTGCTTTTTCAGCCATGTTCCCCCCTTTCTTATTTTTATTTTTATTTGTTCTCAACACATTTTATACTTTAATCTCAATTAGTATTAAGTTTTAGTCTTTAATGTTTTTCCTGCCCGAAACGCTTTGCGTAATAGTGGCTTTAGGCATTGTATGTACTAGCTCTATCTATAAATCCATCAACTTTGTATCTTACCTTGTATGTATGTACCTTACCTGCATACAAAATTTAATTTAATTTAATTTAATTTAATTTAAATAGAATAGTTACCTCATATACTCTGAGATAGTGGGGCTTGAGTAACCTTTGAAGTTTGGGAGGATAATATCTGTTTTATGCGACTATAGCCAAAGTTTGGATTGCAGGAAATTTCTGTTAATTTTTCCCGAGATCAGTGAATAATGGTGTATATTATGTTATGAAACTTGGTCTCCTCCTTTTACAAATTACGTCGTTTTTCGCTCGTCTGCGCTATGGCCAGAAAAGGTTGTAATTTGAAAATGAAAATAATTTAAAATAAATTTTGGATTTTTGGTTTTCTCCAAAACAGCAAGTTAAGGGTTCCCTGGTAGGTTAGGAGGGCAGGAAGTTCTCCTAAGGTTTCACAACGTCATAAAAACCGTTAATTGAAAGTTTCCTCTCCTAATCTAACAGCCTAAGCCAGAGGACCCAAAACAGAAAACGGGACAGAACGTCACTTTCGCCAGCCGATTCCATTTTCAATTGCGTCATTTTTTAGCTTGAGTGCGCATACGAGCAAAAAGTGACGTAATTTGTAAGAGAACGGGTTGCAACATACATTCTTTCTGGTATAAGTTATTCCTCGCTCTGGCACATTAGTCAGTTAAGACTAATGACGCTGGAGGAACAGCAGTTTACGGGGTAAACCAGAATTCCTCTGGAGAATAGGCGGGCTGGCTTGAGGTATTGTTTAGCATAGAGCAACTTCTTAACTTAAAAGAAAGATGGCAACAGCAGAAGACGGTCTGGAGGAGGAGAGAGATGAATTATGTCACCATTAGCCAATAGGAGAGATGCAGGGCCCTGATATGGCCAGAGTTGAGTCTGATTGGCGTAGACATCACTTGTGTGTAGAAGGTCAAGGAGGAGACATGTTTTTCGTCGCATTTCAAGACTTAAGATGAAAGTTCTAATGGCACTAGCGAGAAAAGAATGGTAACAGAAGGAAGAACATAGAGGAGATGGGGGCAGCAGTGGTGTCAACCACTATTCGTGTACCTTATCTTGCGGTTATCTTGAGATGATTTCGGGGCTTTTTAGTGTCCCCGCGGCCCGGTCCTCGACCAGGCCTCCACCCCCAGGAAGCAGCCCGTGACAGCTGACGAACTCCCAGGTACCTATTTACTGCTAGGTAACAGGGGCATTCAGGGTGAAAGAAACTTTGCCCATTTGTTTCTGCCTCGTGCGGGAATCGAACCCGCGCCACAGAATTACGAGTCCTGCGCGCTATCCACCAGGCTACGAGGCCCCCTTGGAGCAACGTTCTGAAGCCAAACGTGAATGTGTCTGGGAGTATTGTAGAACCTGCACGATGTTTTATTGATCCAATGAGTGGACAAAGTATCAGGTGTACCAGGAAGTTTGGATGCCTGAGTTGACCCCAACATGCAAGTCAGAGATAAGATCGAAGGAGGCGACATAACAGGTTTTGAGAACGACCCTATGGGAAGAGCAGACCTCAGGTGCCATTTTGATGTAACAGTCGAAATGCCGCCACAACTCCCTCTTTGCGGATCGTGTACTTGCTAGGAGGTGAGATCGACAAGTGACGAGTCAGGCCAGGCATACGTATGTCATATACGTATGCCATACAAGGCATACTCTGAGCGTCATGAGTGAACGAGATCCACTCCATCAGAGGCTACATCCCCCAAGATCCACCGTGATTATTTCCTTTTTGCTTGAGCAGCACTTGTACTGGTGTGACTGACACAGTGGATGGAGATTTCATTTGTTTTCTTTGTTTTAAACATTGCGATTACCAAACCTACATCGAGCTAGATCAAGCACGACTGTAGAAAGGATAGCCTAGGATGATAAGAAATAATTAATTGCAACAAGAAGCTAAGAGTGGACAATGTCATGACAGTGGCTATTTGCCTTGGTGTGCTTATCATCCACATTATTGTGCTAAGGACATGCACTGTGCTGTAAAGTTCAAAGATATTTTATCATGAGTGAATTTACAGATTTAATTGTACCACATTGTGAGGAATACCAGAGGAGAGAACCTGGATGTTTGTTATAATGTGCCTGTAAAATATACCTGTACACAGATTTACATATATGCTTATATTTTTAAGTGATTGTAACAGAAAATTACATATTTTAATCACGAAAGACCCTATAAAAGGGGAAATGCTTATGTATAGAGGTGACTTAGGATATTCGACATATTATGGAGAAGAGGCTACAATGACGCATCCAAGAGTTAGTTGATTTGAAGACTTCACTTAAGAGTATAATTATTGTGTATTTCTTTGCTTTATTAAACGCTAGTTTCTTTAAATACTTTGTCTCTTGACTCTGTGAATTTTGCGTGAGAGATGATAACCGGACCTGCCTACGAATAACGAGGTTAAACGAAGTTACCGGGGAACTGATAATGGAATAAGAAGTGAGGAAGAGGACACCGCTGTTCCCTTTTAAATTCTGGAGACCCCCGACCAGCCTATGTCCGTCCCGTTCCCCCAGACCAGTCCCCCTGCAAAGTTGGGTGAGGCTGGCCCCAAACGTATGGCCTGCAATTTTGGACAGACAGATAGAGACAAACACCCCCTCCCCCTCTCCACTTCATCTACCCCTCCCCCCCCCCTTTCTACCATCACAGGTGAAGCTGACAGACTATCACAGGTGAGGCTGGCAGACTATCACAGGTGAGGCTGACAGACTATCACAAGTGAGGCTGACAGACTATCACAGGTGAGGCTGGCAGACTATCACAGGTGAGGCTGGCAGACTATCACAGGTGAGGCTGACAGACTATCACAGGTGAGACTGACAGACTCACAGGTGAGGCTGACAGACTATCACAAGTGAGGCTGGCAGACTATCACAGGTGAGACTGGCAGACTATCACAGGTGAGGCTGGCAGACTATCACAGGTGAGGCTGACAGACTATCACAGGTGAGACTGGCAGACTATCACAGGTGAGGCTGGCAGACTATCACAAGTGAGGCTGGCAGACTATCACAGGTGAGACTGGCAGACTATCACAGGTGAGACTGGCAGACTATCACAGGTGAGACTGGCAGACTATCACAGGTGAGACTGGCAGACTATCACAGGTGAGACTGACAGACTATCACAGGTGAGGCTGACAGACTATCACAGGTGAGACTGACAGACTATCACAGGTGAGGCTGACAGACTATCACAGGTGAGACTGGCAGACTATCACAGGTGAGACTGACAGACTATCACAAATGAGGCTGGCAGACTATCACAGATGAGACTGGCAGACTATCACAGGTGAGACTGGCAGACTATCACAGGTGAGACTGACAGACTATCACAGGTGAGGCTGACAGACTATCACAGGTGAGACTGGCAGACTATCACAGGTGAGACTGACAGACTATCACAGGTGAGGCTGACAGACTATCACAGGTGAGACTGACAGACTATCACAGGTGAGACTGACAGACTATCACAAATGAGGCTGGCAGACTATCACAGATGAGACTGGCAGACTATCACAGGTGAGACTGGCAGACTATCACAGGTGAGACTGACAGACTATCACAGGTGAGACTGACAGACTATCACAGGTGAGACTGGCAGACTATCACAGGTGAGACTGACAGACTATCACAGGTGAGACTGGCAGACTATCACAGGTGAGACTGGCAGACTATCACAAGTGAGGCTGGCAGACTATCACAGGTGAGACTGGCAGACTATCACAGGTGAGACTGGCAGACTATCACAGGTGAGACTGGCAGACTATCACAGGTGAGACTGACAGACTATCACAGGTGAGACTGACAGACTATCACAGGTGAGACTGGCAGACTATCACAGGTGAGACTGACAGACTATCACAGGTGAGACTGACAGACTATCACAGGTGAGGCTGACAGACTATCACAGGTGAGACTGGCAGACTATCACAGGTGAGACTGACAGACTATCACAGGTGAGACTGACAGACTATCACAGGTGAGACTGGCAGACTATCACAGGTGAGACTGACAGACTATCACAGGTGAGACTGACAGACTATCACAGGTGAGGCTGACAGACTATCACAAGTGAGACTGGCAGACTATCACAGGTGAGACTGACAGACTATCACAGGTGAGGCTGACAGACTATCACAAGTGAGGCTGACAGACTATCACAAGTGAGGCTGGCAGACTATCACAAGTGAGGCTGGCAGACTATCACAGGTGAGGCTGACAGACTATCACAAGTGAGGCTGGCAGACTATCACAGGTGAGACTGGCAGACTATCACAGGTGAGACTGACAGACTATCACAGGTGAGACTGACAGACTATCACAGGTGAGGCTGACAGACTATCACAAGTGAGGCTGGGAGTCTCTTTAATATTGTTTATACTTTGGGGGACGTATAATTATAATTATAATTGTTGTTGACGCGTGGGAAATCACACCTACATTGTGTACACATTTATATAATAATGCGATATTGCTGAACTTGGTGTAAGTCACAAACATTCATCACTGATGCAACATTCATCAATTCATCCATTATATCTCTGCAACCGAGACTGTTGACCACCTTGCACAAGCTCTGGTGGTCAACACACACTTCCATCTTCACAGGTAAACTCCCAAGACGCTATGAAGAAACTTTCACCGCTTAAACTATTGAGAAAATTAAGAAGTATGGTTAATGTTGAGGACGTGAAGAGGTTCATGGTGTATGATGATTGAGGAATGAGGTTGTCATCATACAAATCATCATGCACAATGATTCCAGTCGCACTCGAAGTCACGCCGAAGGAACTCACCGGCCACTACAAGAGCTACAGCGAAGCACGTCTGGATCACCAAGTGCCTCAGGAGTCGCAGTTTCATCGTGACGGCGGCCTCTATTTCTCTCTCTCTCCCAGCCTCCGGTTATTTTCCTTTCCTTCTCTCCCCCGAGCCTCAGCACCGCCGACACGGCCTGTCTCACCACCGTGACTGTCGCCCACACCACACCGATATCACCATAGCCAGCCAGCTCCGCGCATCCCTAAGACCAGGAGGCTTCGAGCGAGATCGCCGGGACGTTGAGAGAGAGACGCGCGTGCACCCACACCTGTGTCTCCAGCCACACTGACGGGCTCCATCCCTTGCCTCTCCCATCCGCACCTCTCATCTCTCTCTCTCTCTCTCTCTCTCTCTCTCTCTCTCTCTCTCTCTCTCTCTCTCTCTCTCTCTCTCTCTCTCTCTCTCTCTCTCTCTCTCTCCCAACAAGCCTCAGGAGTTATCACCATCGATCATTATCAACAATATCTGCATCAGCAACTGCCAGACCTTTAATATTGACAGAATTAACATCAATTATTCGCAAAATTAAATACAAATCGGCCGAGTTAACAAATAATAGAACTAACACCAGTATTGAAATGTGTTCGCATAAAAGTGTGCAGCATTAGCATCATCATTAGCATCTATATTAACATCATTAACATAGGCAGTGGCAGAATTTGCGGATATTTGTAAATTAAGTTCAATATTCAATATTAAAAACTATATTCAAAGACTTAACATCAATATAGGCAGAACTAATGTCTATAGTGGCAGAACTGACATCAATATTGGCAGAACTGACATCATTGGACGCTTCAACCTGTTCTCTTAAAAATAACGTCGCTTTTGGTCGTTTGCCCGTATGGCCAAAAGTGGACGTAATTTGAAAACGAAAAAAAAATGAAAATAAATTTTGGATTTTTTTTTCAACAACAGTAAGTTAAGGGTCCTCTGATAGGTTAGGTGGACAGGAAATTCTCATAAAGTTTCAAAACGTTATGAAAAACGTTAATTAAATGTTTCCTTTTCTAACCTGTCCGAGTAAGCTGGACGACTCAAACAGAAAACGGAACAGAACGTCACTTTTGTGAGTCGATTTCATTTCAAATTACATCCAATTTTGACCATAGCGCGCATACGAGCCAAAAGTAACGTTATTTTTAAGAGGACGGGTTGCTTGGACAACATCCAGGACATCCGTTTTCTGTTGGTGGGTCCACAGTTAGGTTAGGTTTGGGCAATTTATCAGTTCAGTGTCCTTGTGAGCCTTGTGTCCTTGTGTCCTTGTGAGCGCAACCCGTTCTCGCAAATTCGTAAAGTCAATATTGACTTATTAACTACGTGCATAGGTGATATACTAAACATAATAGATATCCTTAAAAAGATTCATAGAAAACACCGACCTTACCTAACCTTGTTAGTATCTTAAGATAAGCATCTTATTGCTTCGTAATTACAATTATTACTTAACCTATACCTATTATAGGTTAGGTAATAATTGTAATTACGAAGCAATAAGATGCTTATCTTAACATACTAAGTAGGTTAGGTAAGGTCGGTGTTTTCTATGAATCTTTTTAAGGGTATCTATTATGTTAAGTATGTCACCTATGCACATATTTAATAAGTCAATATTGACTTATTAAATTTGCGAGAACGGGTTGCGAGAGGACGGCCTGAATAATAACCAACCAATATAATTCCTTTCGAGAATGCCACTAGATACTCTTGTAGGGAAGCTTTACCACAAAGTAAAGCTGCCCTACTTCCCATGTTGCTTTACCCGCAGTGTAAAGCCTGGGACCAGACGGGATAAACATCCCACATTCATGAACTTATATAAGTGTTCGTGTATGTCGGAGCCTCCTTAGTCAGGTCATTAGTGTCGTGTTACAAAATTATAAAATAGATTTTTGTTAACAAGTGGCACTGTGCCATTGTGGTGTGGTCGGGGGGGGGGGGTTCTTTGTCTCTACGAGTCATGGAGAGTCAGGTAGCCGGCGGAGTGGTCCTCTACGAGTCATGGAGAGTCAGGTAGCCGGCGGGTGGTCCTCTATGAGTCATGGAGAGTCAGGTAGCCGGCGGGTGGTCCTCTACGAGTCATGGAGAGTCAGGTAGCCGGCGGAGTGGTCCTCTACGAGTCATGGAGAGTCAGGTAGCCGGCGGAGTGGTCCTCTACGAGTCATGGAGTCAGGTAGCCGGCGGAGTGGTCCTCTACGAGTCATGGAGAGTCAGGTAGCCGGCGGAGTGGTCCTCTACGAGTCATGGAGAGTCAGGTAGCCGGCGGGTGATCCTCTGAGTCATGGAGTCAGGTAGCCGGCGGGTGGTCCTCTACGAGTCATGGAGAGTCAGGTAGCCGGCGGAGTGGTCCTCTACGAGTCATGGAGAGTCAGGTAGCCGGCGGAGTGGTCCTCTACGAGTCATGGAGAGTCAGGTAGCCGGCGGGTGGTCCTCTACGAGTCATGGAGCTACGACTGATTGCGGCGGCAGTTCGCTGGTGCTGGCAGACCATGGTGGTCGTTTTATGTACCTTTCCACTCCAACAGAGGTCGAGGGCCGTCAGCTTCCATGCCGTCCATTTGTAATAATTTAATTTGATTTGTTGGCGCACGTCGGCTGGGGCCATTTAGTTACAATCGCTGAGATATAAGTTTCCAGTAAATGCCTTCACTCACGATAGTTTTATTTAACTCATATCCACAGAACCTATATACCCGTCCATAAACCATCACATAAACAAGTGAAACTACGCTAATACGTCAAGAGAGAAATTTGTAAAAAAAATCTCATACCTACAGTCTGCGCCTTCATCAGGGGCCAGTTCACGAAGCAGTTACGCAAGTACTTACGAACGTGTACATCTTTCCTCAATCTTTGACGGTTTTCGTTACAATTATTAAACTTACAAGCATGAAAACTTGATAATCAACTGTTGTTATTTTTATAAACAGCCTCCTGGTGCTTCGGAGCTCATTAACTGTTTAATAATTGTAAACAAAGCCGCCAAAGATTTAGAAAGGATGTACAGGTTCGTAAGTGCTTGCGTAACTGCTTCGCGAATCTGGCCCCTGTCCTCCTACAAAGAACGTCGCTTTTCGCACGTATGAGTTACATAAGGCCAAAAAATTGTCGTACTAGAAAATGGAAGCGGCTGGCGAAAGTGACGTACTGTCCCGTTTTCTGCTTTGGGTCCTCTGGTAGGTTAGGATAAGGGCACTTTAAACTGACCGTTTTCTTGATGTTGGGAAATCTTAAGAGTACAGACTGGCTCCAAAATCCGCTACACAGCTATTATGTAATAAACGCACACAGCATTAAAAATAAATATTACAGTATAATAAATACAGTATAATAACAGTATATATTACAGTATAATAAATACAGTATAATAACAGTATATGTTACAGTATAATAAAAATAAATAAACAGTATTAAAATAAATATTACACAGCTATTGTGTAATAAACGGTCCTTCCACGGAGAATTCCTCGGTGGATTACTGGCCAATGAGTGACATAGTTCTTCGGCCGATATGAACCTATCAGTTGACAAGCAGGCGGGCTACTTTGCCTTACTTTACAACCGTTAGGGCACTCAAACAGATTGTCTCAACCAACCGGTCCTCAGACCAAGTCCATTCCAAATTAGATTAGATTGTACCATATTCAAAATACAGAGGAATTCAAAATACTTTTTATCTTATTCAAAAACAAAAACTACATCTTGCATTGGGCCTTGCGCAAGGGTGATGGAACCTTCCACAGATGACAGCAAAGAAATAAGTGAAATACTGAGGTTAGAGTAGGATCCAGTTTTCAGTGATCGCATGAATACATTGCATATCAATGATCCAAACGAATGCTTCTGAATATGGCAACACTACCCAGCTATATATCATGTTACCCTAAACCCCTACCACTTTAAGGAAGACGATGGTGGTGGTAGCGGTGACAATAGTGGTAGCGGTGACAATGGTGGTAGGCGGTGACAATGGTGGTAGCAGTGACAATTGTGGAAATTACGGCGGCGGAGGCAATGGTGGTAGCAGTGACAATTGTGGAAATAACGGCGGCGGAGGCAAGTGTGGTAGCAATGATTGTGATAATGTGTGTGGTAATGTGTGTGGGGAACGGCGGAGGCGGGGCGTTACTCCGTCACCTTTAAACAGCGGAGGAGAGGATGAGGAGCGAGAGGTTGGGGGGGTTGTGGGGTACTTACCCAGCAGTACTTACCTGACACAGTTTCCAGACCTGAACTTCACCTCTCAAGCCTCGCCTTTCCAACTATCGATTGTCTAATGCAATGGCTCTCGACCCATTTGCGTCGTATCACATCTGCTTTTAAAATTAAGGTAGTGTATTTTTTCTAGTTCGAAACGTGCGTTCTGCTCCTGACACTTAAGAAGTGTTTTCTTGTTGTTTGTAAAGATTCAGCTACAGGAAACAAAAAATTGCATGTAGCACGGTCTATGGTGAGCCCGTAGTGAACTTACCTGCCACAGGAGCAGGGCTGTGACTAATGTCGCTTGGATGCGCAAGGAATTGAGTGTTTGCGTGCAAAGGCTCATTTGCGTGATTATGTGCATGTCTTCTGTTTTCTCGTTACTCTCTTGCTCAGTCTTAATCATTCTATTTCGTCAATACCCCCCTGAGTATTTTAGATGTATGGATCTTGTACCCACTATTTCTTCTTCTTCCAGTATCATTATGCTTAGTTCCCTTAGTCGATCTTGACAGATCAATCCTCTCAATTTTGGGATCTGTCTTGAAGCAAACCTTTATAAGTTTAAATCTTCGGTTTTGTGTTTTTTATGTGGATGTTCCACGCTGGTGCTGCTTACTCTAGCACTAGTTGGAGGCTATAAAAATTCAGTCCAGAGAAGCAATACTAGAAATGTATTATTGCCATAGTTTAGGCAAGTTCAGAATGAAAGAAATCGGCCAGTGAAAGTTATTTTTTAGAACAGTAATCTAGTTAAATATTTACTTGCATAAATTTATATTTGAGAGGTGAAGGGGAGTACTGGTCCATGAAGTATATATTAGCCAAGATATATTTAATGAGAATAGAGAGGTAGTAAAGAAAATCGGAGAAGAAAAGCAAGAAAGAAATGCATGGAGACTGGAAAATGGCACACACAAGGAGGCTCAAGGACAAACCAGATAACAGAGAAAAAGTGATGCTGCTCAGCTTGATGAAGCACACATACAAAGAAGTGCATGTGCGCACCTCGATCACACGTGATTAGGTTATCGTATACTCGCGCACATAAAACGAAGTGCATGTGTGTGCCTTGATCACAAGTGACTAGATCATCATATACTGTACTCCCCTTCTACCTCTCAGGCAAAACAAATGCAATAGTCATGAGTTACATTAAAGTTATATACATGAATGCAAATGGAATTGCAAATAAAGGACTAAAATTACAAGAAAGGATGATAAGAACACCCACACATTATCGTAATAGCAGAAACAAAACTGACAAGTGTTATAAAAAATTAAATCTTCCCAAGAGGATATCGAATAATAAGGAAAGAGGGTGAACAGGAATGGAAATGGTACAGCCTTGCTGATACACATACACTGAAGCTTTAAGGAAGTACATACTAGGAATAGCAACAGTAGAACAAGATAGTGGTAGTGGTGACTTACTGTCCCCCACCAAACAAAAGGCCTAGGGAAGATTATGACAAATGCAACGAGACTTATGTAAAGATAATGAAAAAAGAAGCCACAGTGGCAAGGCGAACAAGGGCTAAGATTCTAATACTTGAGGAATTTAATCACAAGGATAAAGAAGGATCCTCCCCCCCACCTCCCACAGGAGTAATGAGAGAGCAAAACTGGTAGGTATGATAGACACACTTCTTAAAACAACATATTACAGAACCAACAAGAATAAAAGAAGAATACTCGCCAGCAACACTAGACCTAGTGTTGACACAAAATGAGGCAGATGCTGAAGTTATGATATGTCTCTAGGAGCTAGCAACCACTGTATTATTGTACTCAAGATACAGTGTAGCTAAAGGAGTTGGTTAAGAGTCCCTGAATCTTGCAGGAATTACCCTGAAGCCATCAACACTGCCACTCTTCTGGTCAAAAAAAGGTGTCCAGCAGCTGGACACCTTCATAAATACTGTAAAGCAGTATCCTCCTCCGTGATAGCAGCCACATAGTAAGGATCAACAGTTTAAATGAGCTCAGCACACCGTATATCTTTTCCCGACCAAAGATCACAACCTCTCCAAATAATCTACCACTTAGGGCAACTCCTGCCTGTGCCGCCTCTTGGGTGGCTTCATCTCCATCAATCAATCGAGGGAAGACAGCTAACCTGGTATCTCTCCTTGGGAAAGATAAATGATTGTGATGCTTTAAATTGAGGAGGCTTCCTCAAATTTGTAGTGCACACGTGTAGGAGAATGCAGGGCGGTTGCCATTGCAATTGATGCAGCGAGCTTGCGGAAACAAGCACTCAAGTCTTAGAATGACCCAAGACTACATACACCTCACTTTTGCACTTTAAAGAGACCAAGTTCAAATCTGCAGCGCTTATTGCATTAGCGAGGAAAGAGGATGTACTCTTGACTAGAGCATCTGACAAGAATTACGTAAGATGGAAGGGACCTACTATCAAGTGATTTTTACTCCCTGAAGAGGCTTATGACGACGGCCATGAAGAGGATCGAGCGAGCATACCAATCTGAAGGATAGAATGGCCTTGGACCTCTAGGATATATTTAAAATCCTCAAGGTAGTCTGACGTCCCTATCACCAGTCACATGGTGCAGGAAAATAACCTTGCCAATGCTGGCATTTAGCCGGACATACTTGGAGATCTGAACTGGGGTTTCACCAATGCATTTCATCATTGCCAGGTGGTCGGCTGCAATTACAAGTGTTCTAGTTTGGTTGGGGTTAAAAGTGACAAAGGTATCCACTGAATCAATTAGGTGTTAATGGATGAATAACTCATGAAGTGTATGATCAGTGTGAGGATCAAATTCTGGAATATAGTACATTGGGAAGGAATCGTGTGTATCAGTGTGCGGGGGATGACTGCGCAAAGCTTCCCTAGTAAGGAGGGGTATAAAAAGCTCGGTTGTTACAAGAGATGGAACCACTCCAAGTGACGACATGGTCACCACAGGGGCCTCAGGGTTCAACCCTCAAGAACTATCAAGAATAAAATTTCATTCACAATTAAGCCCCCCACTCTCCATAGAGCCACAATTAAGGGGCAGGGAACTTGATAAAATGGGGACTTCCCAGAGGTGCATCCTGGATATACACCAGTTACCTAAACCCTTTCACTATGCAATAAATATATATTTTAGTTCTGTATATAAACATGGCTCATATTTGCTTCCTCAGACCTCCAGTAATGATCCCCCCATCTTAGGAAAAAGAAAAAAAAATGTCACTTTCCTTCTAGGGACTTAAAATAAAAAAAAAACAGCAGTAGTACAAGGCTCTAAGAGGACATGAAATATTGAGCATCACAACCCAGCAGCCACCTACCAAGCCCCCTCACGTCAACAACCAAGACAGTGAGGGGAATGGTCTTCAGTAAGCTATCAATTCCTAGAACTGACGTGACATGTATAGAGCTATCTGTGTGTGGCTAGCAACAGGAAGCCATCGTTCAGCTCCTTCAGAAACAGTTTTCCCCAAGTTAAAGGCTTATAAATAATACACAAATATATTAGAGACATTGAGTTTATTGCAATAAGACAACTACACGAGGTGTGTTGAGCTTGCTGCTAAGAGTGATGAGAAGAGGGACACTTGTCCCCTTTGCTCGCTCTGGATCGGTATAAAAGCTGAGGGGTCTAAAAAGAGTCCCATCCATTCATTAGTTTGGGGCCAATTAAAATTAAAAGACTGTAACACAGGCGTGCCACGTGGGTGGTTATGCGAGTGTGGTTGGTTGAGTAGGCCACAGCCAAATATTAAATCTTCCCACACCCACTAGCTGCCACAGCCACATCAAGCAACACGAAGCCCTCCCAGAGTTGCCCATACGGTGCGCTTTTTAACAGCGTAACAATAAGGGAACGATATCAAGTCATATACACATGGTAAAATGCCACAAGTTACATGAAAATGTAGATATTGCAGCTGACCAACTGGCATCAACTGTCAGGGGCAGTGGCAGTAAACCAGGTTGGCTAGAGCTGCTGTGCTTTTCCACACATCTGTGAAGGAGAGGGTGTTGGTTGTATTCTGTCGCCATGTGTCCCACAAGGTAAGTGGCCCCAGGTTCCTCAGCAGCAAGTTGGCGCAGTGACCGGCTGGCAAGACACCTCGGCTTATTTCTCAGCTGCTCATTACACTCGAGACGTGTGACGAGATCACTTACAGACTGAAGACTACAAGATTCTTGCATCAATAAGTGTATCTTGCATTTGGTCTCACTTCAAATACAATTTGAAACTTATAAACCTGTATCTCATGTAAATTCCAGTAATAATGTCTCAACTTCAAAACAAAATATTCCATTTTGTGGTCAGTATTACTGTACTTTCTTAGCATTTTTACTAACCAGAACTTTTTCCAAGAGGACCATCCTCTTTTTAAAAAGCTCACTTTCTAATCCTATTCAGTATTAGCTCCAGGAACCATCAGTGTGGAGCATGGGAAATCAAAAGAATATTAACTAGAAGAGAGACATGTGCATTACCCACTTATTTCCTGTGTAGTACTGTACAGTACATATCTTCCTGTATTACATAAACACAGGTGCCCATCCCATGCACCAAGAGTCCTTAACTGACAACATACAAAAATCAACCCAGAGTAACATATGCACCGTCCACATGCATGTAACGCTTCTAAATGAAACCATAGCATCAAATATGTCTATGTTTCTAGCACAGCACTCAAGCTTTTCAAGTAGAGGAAAATAAAGTTCACTCAAATAATAAACTTTGCCTTCTACAAAGAAATAAACCACAAAGTTAATTTGTTCTACCACAGCAAATCTCTTAGACACTGAGATGAGAATTGTCTTGTATTCCATGTATAATTTTCTAAAAGTTAAACCACTGTCAAAAACAAATTTTCATTCACTGTTCATCACCTGTACAATCAATCAGGAAACGAGCTTCATATATATATGTTATATGTAATTTTCCTGGAAGCTATGACAGACAATCCCCCAGTTCACTTGGGTGGGCAATCTCCTGCAGTTGAAGGCGACGTCGAGACTTTATCTGCCGACAGCTCCTCTTTTGATGATACAAGTGATTCAGCTGGTTTATCTTCCACTTTCTTCTCAGACTTGCCAGCTGCTAGAAATAAGAAGGCATTTATTTAAACACATAAAAGGTAAGCTTTTCATTTGCAATTACACAAAAATTTTGTACAGAATTGGTTTTTATACAAATCAGTAGTTTCGTAATTACAATTTTTGGATAGACTGTAAAATTACAGTATATCCTTAATAATATTATACATAAATACACATGTATAAATATATATATAAATATATAGTTTTGTAATTGCAATTTTTGGTACATTAGTTGATCGACAGTTGAGAGGCAGGGACCAAAGAGCCAGAGCTCAACCCCAGCAAACACAACTAGGTGAGAACACACATTTTTATATATATATATATATATATATATATATATATATATATATATATATATATATATATATATGCGCAAACATTATTGAAAGTAATGAAAGGTAATTCTGATAGCTTCTGTTGCTACTGTGCTACAAAATATCTGAGGCTTAATATAGTACAGTACATATATGATATACTAGGGATAGAATATTTTTTTTCAGGAATTCCTTACTAGTTAGTATACTACTATCTAAAAACTAAGTACAGTACATACAAATTCGTGACTATTGACGATTGTCACAATAGGTACTATCTAAACTGGAGGATGGATTGGATTTAGTATGAAGTCATCTCGGCAAGATAACTTCAGGGAGCCACAAGAAACTACCAGAAAAATGTTTCAACACTGAAATTTAAACACTCACCATCACGATTGAAGAAAGCCTGAGTGGTACTTAGAGCATCAGCCCTGAGCTTGGCTTGTTGAGCAGAGCTTGGAGGATTTGAGGTTCTCTGTTGTGTCTGTTGCTGCTGTTGCTGCCCTTGTGACTGTCCACGGCTTAAACGATGATTGTTGCTGTTGCCGGAACCCTGAGATGCTGCAGGACGTTGAATTGGCCCTGGGTTTGGATATCGGGAGCTAGTAGCCATTGTTGGATTTGGTCCACCCAAACCACTCTGGCTTGCCATAGGTAATTGTCCACGAAGGCCCATTACCATTCCTGCGGACCTGAGGCTCCCACCCATCATCTGAAACGAATAAAAAGCTGTAGACCTATAGAATGATTTCAGCTTTATTATACAAAAATTAAGTAACCTCATTTTCTTTGCATTAGCTAATCCTCAGCCTTCTACTAAAAAAATAATTAAATGCCTTTTTCTGAGGTGTCCTTGGTGGCTCCCTGTAGCTAGCAGCACCGAGATAGCACCACACACAAGTCACATGAAAAGAAGCAAAAGCAAAATAAACAACTGCAAGGTTCACAGACAGGAAAGAATGAAGCAAAGAACTCTGCAAACAATCTCCCGAGTAGTTAGGCCATACCCACCACTGCTGGTAGCCAGCAACAAATGGCCAACAACAGGTAGCAGCACCAAGGAAGTTGCTGTCTCCCCATGTCAACTATCATCTGTCCAAAGTTAAAGAAAATGGATCGAAGCACCTGGTAGGGAGGAGAGTCTAGGGAGCAGCAGAGGGAGGGAGGCATTTATTTATATTCAAAGCTGGTTTTCTGGAAGGACCAAATGGTGGCTCCCTGTAACTAACCACAGCAAAAAGGAGAAATGGGACTCATCAGGGGAAGACAGCAAGGATCAAACCCAAAAAGAGGAAAGCACAGACCAGAAAACCTGGCTCAAGGCACAGCAAACATGACAGGAACCAGAAAACCCTGCTCAAGGCACCACAAACATGACAGGAACCAGAAAAACCTGTTCAAGCACCACAAGCATAACAGGGACCAGGGATACTAGATAAGGTAACAAGTTGCCACGACCTCAAAAATTCTCGGCCCGAATAACAGCTCATGATACCTGTACATTAGAAAATCAGCCTTTAGTATAATGAAAATGGTTCTTTCTAGTTGGGCCTTGGTGGCTCCCTGTAACTAGTATGCTGAGATACGTCCACAACCAGTCTAATCAGCTTTAGAAACTCGTATGACCTTTGAGAGACCAGAGCCAGAACCCCCCCCCCCTTAACTAGCTCGGGATTGTTACGATTACCCTTACCAAGGAAATATCCAGAAAATAAGAAGCAAAAGACAACTACAAGGTTCACAGAAAAAAAAAGAAATGATCAACAAATGACTGCGAACTATCCACCCAGCAGTTAGGTTAACCCTTCAGTTGAGCATAAGAACTAGGGTTGTTTTCAAGCCGAGCGTAAGATTTAAAACTTCTGCAACTTAAAGCACTCACATCCAGTTCAGGTCTCCAGTAATCAGATGCCTTTTTTTCATAAATTGCAGGCACCCACAATCACTGTGGGCATCTGATCAACCAGGCTGTAATTCATGTCAAACTGCGAGCAACCGTGTCAAACAGCCAAGTTCACTAGTCTCAATAACAAGGCCTGGTAGAGGACCGGGTCGCGGGGACGTTGAGCCCCGAAACCATGGCAAGGTATCCATGGGTCAACCACGAGTATACCATGGGTAGAGCAAGTTGCTGCAGCGAAGAGCACCACCATGCAGCTTGTGCGACACACCATCACTCAATAATGACTAAATAAATATCTGCAATTATTCATTGATGATACTGACATAGAAGATCCTGACTGAAAAAAGATCCCGTACAAGAGTCAGATAACAGTAAGTCCGTTCCTGGTGACGATGTTCAGAAAGCAACATAGACAAACAGCACCACATCATACAATTGCACCAAAAGCTTCTTTTAAAAAATTAAGGTGTGAAGAAAGTTTCATATTCAGGGTTTAGTGATCAGGGTCATGACCAGCGATCACGAATCAGTGACATATTAAGACATTTTAACTATCTGAAAGAAAAGAAAAAAAATGTCAGTTAATTTTTTTTTGTGCACACCACAGGCATGTCACATGTAATGGGTGTGCAGTGCAGGGGTTAATACCACTAGATACGGCTAGGCAGTGCAAGGCAGCAGCACAACCAGCAACTCCAGCTACCCATGTCTACAGAGCTCAATCTGGAGCTGAAAAATGAGCCTGGAAAGGAGGAAGGACCAGGGAGCTACCAAGGATCAAAAGAAAAGCTCCCAGTAGCTAATAAACCACACAGCAAAACACTACTAAATTTGGACTTAAAAGGGAGAGCAAAAACTGTATCCACGGAGAGAACCTGGGCAGGGAAACCCGACCTGGGGCAACAACCCAGGTAGGGCCCCAGGAACAATGACCAAGTAACAAGTCACCAGGACTGTTAGACATTCAAAACACCCGAACAGTAATATCAGCCCGTGACACATTGAAAAAAATGTAGACAAAGTGACAAACGTGAGGATATTGAAGGCCTGAGGTAGGCCACAGGCTGATTAGACGTAACCCCCTCAAGTGTGCCTGTGGAAATACAGGCATGTCTGTACGGATTTTTAAAAAATCCAATTATAAATTTGGATGCAAAATGAAGAGGAAAAAAGTGGAAATAAACTATACTATATATCTAAATTTTTACTGATTAGGCAAACTGTGGAAGCTTGGAAGGTGGCAGTCCAGCTGTATCTGTTAAGGCTAGCCCTCGCATTTTGCCGACACTGGCATGTGGCAAAGGACTCCCATGTTGACCATGTATGTTTATACAATTGTTTTTATATTAATTGGTTCATTCACTATGTGATTAACTAGGTTCATGTACATGTAATTTACAAAAGCATGGATTGGGTACTTAAAGTATAATTAATGAGGCCTGAGTGTAATTACAAGATGAGAGCCATGCTCATGATGTCCCATCTTCCCAGTAATCTTATGTCATACAGAACTTAATCCCTGTTACCATTTTGAACTTGATTGTATTGCCTCTGTTTTCTATGGAGCCCAGAATAAGTAGGGGGAATGGGAGGGAGGGGGGAGTTCAAGAAAGAGGAAGCAGACTAGTGAACTATGTTGGGTGGAAACGAGGGAAGGTGAAGGAGCAGCAAACTTAAAGCAGGTGGAATTCACCAATTTCCTGACGGGACACATCTCCCGTCATGCAGGTCATGCAGTTGCAACCCCCCCCCCCCCCCGCCCTCAAGATCTCCAGTATCAGCTCTTGATACTGGTAATGGCTCAAAAGAGCCACCACTTACGGGCTGTTCATACCCGTGCCACTTTTTGAGTGGCTTAATCTTCATCAATCATTCAATCACCAAATTCCATCACTGAATCAGTACATTTGCATGGGTCAATAGGCCTTTTGTTGTTCTTTTATTATGTTCAAATGATTTGTTGACATCGTGTATTTCATTACAACCATAATGAGTTGTGAAAACCATATGAACATTCTGTATACATTTCATGTGTTTATAATAGAATTTTATACCATTTTATACATTCATACATCGTGCAAAAAAATCACCTAAACATCCAAGGTCATCGAGTGTCTGCCTCAGGGCAATAATAAGAAACTGGAGCAAAAGATACAGGAGGAAATGCAGAATATAACCATTGAGGAGTTGGGGTGCCATACTCACACAGCACCGCTCCTGTGCCAGGTAAGTCCTCTACAAGCTCACCATAGCCCGTGCTACTTGCTACTTGTTCCGAGTAGCTGAATCTATAACAACATTGGGTGCCATAGGCACAATCAGAGCACTGTCAGAACATCAGAGATCCACGGCTGTTCAACACCCAGCCAGCATTAGAAATACTGTATTGCTGGAACAAAGACAGAAGTCTTCAAGAAGTGCCGGAACAACTAGGTTGTATTGAATATGTGGGCCTGCAGGCTGCTCCAAGCAACAGTCTGTTGGACCAAGTTATTACAAGTTGAGCCTGGCCTCTGGCCGGGCTTGGGAGAACTCCTTTAACCTTCTATAGGCATGCTCCAGCATGGGTTAACCAAGCACTGGCAAAAATTTATAACTATAATAATTTTGACATTTACAGTGTATTTCCTAAATTCGACTTTAATGCAAGTTACAATCAAGGAATCTAAGCAGTTGTCCACAACTTTTGAAGCTGCTGAGAAGCTGTATCACTTCTGCAGAATACCATTTGACGTCACAAATTGAGTTACCACTTTTCAGCGTTCAGTGGACAAACTGAACTGGTGACTATGGCAGGGGAAATTTTTATGCCTGCTTATGCCCATGCAGGAGGTCATTTAAAGGTTTCAAGACATCTGAACAGTGGGATAAGTAAGTAATTATCAAAAAGAAGGCACCAAACTGGGAAGGCTATGTAGCACCATCAAATGCGCGGGATTATCAGAGGGCGCTAAATATCACCAAGGATGCCAATACGAGAACAGAAACGCATAAGGCGAACGATATCAAAAGTATCCGAGTCACCAAGAATACTATCGAGAGACAAGCGACCGTGGGGGACGGTCGGAAAACAAGACACACGCTCGTCCCGGAAGTCAGGACATTCAACAAGGATATGCACGACTGTAAGAGGGACAATGCAATTAGGACAACAGAGTGGGATAAGCTATGGTAAAAATTAACCATACCCAGATATATCTAAAGTTTTTTTGAGTGGTAGGAGTGAGAACTCTTGGATAGCTTCGATCTTCTCCAATGGCAGGATACCTGTAGTGGACACTGTCCCAAGAACTCGAGCTCGGACACTTCAAAAATGCATCATCCAGGGTTAATCTGCAGTCCACAGCTCTGGTGGCGAGCAAAACACATTCGAAGATGCTGCAAATGGTAAGCTGTAGAGTGACTCACTAGGTGGTGGTAAGCTGTAGAGTGACTCACTAGGTGGTGGTCATCAGTACAGGTGAAGGTCACCCTTGACTTTGCTGAGGTCAGCAAAGTCAAAGGTGACCACACTATCCCCATAGCTATGGAAGTACAGTACCACTTGTCTTTGTGCAGTGTGGGATGGCTTGTCCACTGGAAGAGGTATAACCGAGCAAAGCGCTCGTGTCAACAAGGTAATACCAGAGGTGCAGTCAATCATATACGAATGTGAATTGTCCAAGGTGGTAGGGGTTGCTAGCTCTCCTAGCACTGTTTCCCAAATAGGCAAAGGGTGGCAGCAGTTCAAGGCCCTAATCCCAAAGCAGCAGTCTCGGTTGGAGTAGGACATCAAGGAAAACCAGTGGGACTTGTTCTGGGACTGCTGA